TTTCTACCCTCTCTTTATATTTATCTCTGTTTTTATCTATTTCACTTCTCCTCCCCTTCCTTCTCTCTCTCTCTCTCTCTGTCATTTTTTTCTACTCTGTCGTTATGTTTTTCTATATTCTTATCTATCTCTTCTTTTATTTCATCTCTCTCTCTCTTTCATTTTCTACCCTCTCTTTATGTTTTCTCTATTCTTATCTATCTCTCCTTTCATACCTCCCTCTCTGTCATTTTCTACTCTCTCTTTATGTTTTTCTCGATTCCTTTCTATCTCTCTTCTTCTTACCTCTCTCTCTTTCATTTTCTACCCTCTCTTTATATTTGTCTCTATTCTTATCTATCTACCTTTCTTTACTCTCCTTTTCTCTTTTTTTGTCTCTGTCATTTTCAGGCTCTTCCCTTTCTGTTTCTCTCTTAATTTATTTCTCTCCTCTCTCTGTTTCCTTTTCTCTATCTCTTTCCTCTCTGCTCTCACTGTGTTCTCTCTCCTCTCTCATCTCTCCTCTAATCTCTGTTTCCGTCTCTCTATTTTCCCTTTTTTTACTATTTCTTTTCCCCTCTCTTTTTCCTATCTCTTCGTTTTCCCCTGTCACTGTATCTGTATCTCTTTCGTGTCGCCCTCTCCATCTCCCTTTCTATCTATCTCTCTCTTTTTCTTTTTATTTCTGTTTGCCCCTTTTCTTTCTATGCACACTTTCTCCTTTCCTATTTCGTTCCTTTCCTCTTTCAACTTTCCTCTCCACACGTTCCTCAACCAATAGCTCAAAGAACTGCCCATCACATTGATGGTGTTCAGACATTTTCCTGAGGATCCTGTCTAATATCTGATACGTATCATTAAAATTGTATCACCGCTATCCTCATAACAATGGCTGTTCATTTGCTCGTAATACTAATGGTAGAATACAGTTTCTCTGAGGATAGCAGTTGGGATTCTGATACTATTAGACTGTTCTCCTTGTAAACATAGAGCCGAGTCGTTCTCGCAGGTTGTATTTTCACAGGTTTTATTTTGACCACAGTTAATCTTGTTGTAACCAAAAACTAGGAAAGGACCCAATGCACGTTAAAAACGGAACGAAAGCTGACATAATGCCACGTCGAGAATACGCTACTTTGTTAAAAAATATTTCTTTAAAATTAAAAAAAAATATATATAACAATGCTTTTAACTTTTGTACCAGCACAAAACGGTGTGTAAAAAGGTCGGTTTTTTCCCTTGACACCGCTATTATTTTAACTACCTTCACACCTCAGCCGTGTTTTTTGTTTTAAAAAGCGATGATTATAATAGTAATCGAACCTATACATATGAAAGGGAATCTATGTATTTTTGTTCTAGAGCATTTACAACAAAAATATTAAATATTGTTTATTTATTAGATTGTTTACTTACAAGAATAATTTTATATGTGAAAAATTATAAAAACTAAAACAATTAAAACTAATGCAATGCAATATTTATCACTTACCAATTCATAAAGAAATAAATTTGAACTTTTTTCATAAATTTATAAACATTTACTAAATTCCCTCTAAATGTCTGAGATGAGATATTGTAACTATTTAAATTATTTACATCGTTCGGACCGTTGTCCTCATCTTTATCGAAAAAAAAGGGTTGGTTGGATCCAATGACATGACCTAAAGAGTCGTGTGTTTAATACGTGGTTACAGCAGTGGTGACCAAAATCTTGAAGAGTTGACTTAAAGGT